GATCAAATAGCATAGAAAAATAGGGCGAAAGACGCTCTATCTGTTCATAAAAAAAGAAAATTTCTTTAACCTTTCTATAAGAAAATTTGGTAATGGCGTCACTACTATTGGATTGCCCTAAGTATTTTAAGTTACATTTCTTCGTCATAATTTTATTCAATCCTCGAGAAATGCAATAAGAAAGTAGTTCATCATATATTATAACGAGACACTATTGATATACGGTCCATGATCGTATATCAACGACGTTTGTCACGGTCTACGATGCAGGAGAAACGTTGCTACCAATGTTTGTCACGCCTATGGGAACGGTCCAAATTTCTACTTCTATACTTCTACATTCCTTTTAGATCATATGTCACAAAATTCATTCTAGTTGTTGATAACATAAATGAGTTGTTTTAAAATAAAAAGCTATTGACAATTTGCGATGGGTTGTTTTAGTATAATTTTTTTGTTAATGCTAATGCTCTGTACAGAATGAATATATCATATCTTAATTTTATCAACAAAATCTTGTACATTATAATAGACATACTAAATCATTTTATCGCTTATGTAATCAAGCATAGATGATGAAGTCTTACAGAATGTATTAAGTAAAAAGTAATGAATGGCATGCTATCATGATATGAAAGTAATTTACCTACACTCTCTTATGAATATGTTCAAAAGAAAAAAACGTCGTTAAATAATCATTGAGTTTAAATTATATTCATGAAGCGTGTATAATTACATATCAAAGAAAAAAGAATTTGAAATTAGGAAAGCTTGTATTTGCTTATATTTTTACCTTTATACTGTGAGTGGACGTTTTACTTTGGACGTTGTTCTTTCGTTCTGTGTACGCCTTCTACACATAAGAAAAAGATGAGAATATTTGCATTATAAAAACAAAAAAAAAAAAAAAAGAGACGAAATTTATATATGGTTTTTTTTATACTTGCTGTCATCGGACTACTCCAATGCAATAAAAGTTATTATATTCAACGATTATTTTTTTTCACCATTAAGAGTTACTTAATCAATGTATACATAGAAATATGACGCCATATCTTTTTCAAGTACAACTATGCATAATACAAAAAGTAAAAATCAATCGGATGATTAAAACATTTATTGTTTGTGAATAAGTTTCTTCATATTGGCCTTCGACTACTGACGTTATTCATCATTTTGTAAATGTGAATTGAATAAATTAAGACATGAAATATAAACTATTTATATAACAAGAGAATCAAAAATCAAAAACAATTTGTTCAATTTTATTTTTATTAAAATTACATTTTCTTCAGATATTAATTCTTTAGTAGTATAAGATAAATGATAATGAATACAACTCGATTAATGCTTGATAATACTTATAATTTATTCATTCCAATATCAGATAATTGTATGAAGTTAAACAACAATCAATGCAATACATTTCTTCTATATTTCGGTCTACCTAATTCTCCTATTACAGCAATCAATAATGATGATATATTAATATCAACATCAGAATCAGAATCAGAAGTTGAATTCGATTCTAATAAATTGATTGTATCTGATACGTAAGATAATAATAATCATTTTAATGAAACTAACTTTAAAATAATACTTTAGAAATAACAATATATCAAATGAAATAGTTTATGAAACATTTTTTTCTCAACTTTTACATAAGTTCGTTTTATTATATTTGTTCAATGAAATTTTAATCTTTAATGTTAAAACTCTTTAGATTTTCAATATTAGATACGTTACCTTTTGAAGAACTTCAATCAGAACTTTTTCTTGAAACTTGTGAAGATTATTTATCACTTGTTGGTAAGAGTTTTATAATATTTCAGTATATTGATATACGTGTTTTTTTTTTCTGTAATTTTTAAGGTAAATTCAATAGTCCTATATTTGCACCATTGAAAGCAGATGTCAATGGTAATATCAATGTAAGTTTATCATTGATATTGTAATATTTTTATTTATTTATTTTTTGCTAAAATTCAAGAAATTGCGACGAAAAATAAATGAAAATGTAATAAAATTTCAAACATTGTATTCAATTCTTAACCATGAAATTCAAGCACAAACAACAAATGCTAGAAATTCAGCAACAGATGCTTTACTTTGGCTAAAACGGTATTGTACTTCTTTTTTTTTAATTGAAAAATATTCAAGTTAATTTTATTTTCAGAGCTTTCGAATTTTTATCAAATTTTCTACATGAATTTGGTATAGGTGATAAAACTCTTGCAGATTCTGTAAGCAAAGCTTATGAACAATCATTAAGAAAATATCATGGAATTTTAGCTAGAAGTGTTTTTTCAGTAAGTGAAATAATGTTTTAACAGAATTTGAATTTATGAGATTGATTATATATTTTTTAGTTTGCTCTTCGTGTAGTACCTAATAATACAGAATTTCTTCGTTCACTTGCCATCCATTCAAATGATGCATCTGAAAATCTTTTCAAACAACAAGTAAGTATCTTTTATTTTAGTTTATTTATTTTAGTATTTTTTTTATTTAAGATATTCAAAGAAATGCTCGATCATTCTTCAAGTATGTCATCTGTATTGCAAAAAATTACATTATTCTATTCGAATCATGGACTTGAATCAACAACAATCGTAACTTAATTAGTGAAACAAATTTTTTCATACTTTTAATGTAGTTATACAGCTGTTTTTTTTTATCATAGAGTGTAAGATACAGCAATGTAGTGTCATCAAATGAAGTTCATTTTCGTATGTGAGTTTTTTGTTTGTTTGTGCGACATCTGTTATTTAATAAATTTGATTATTTGATTTACAAATAATCTAAATCTATTATTTTTATGATTATTTTTTAAAGAAAATTTTCTTGATAAATTGGTAGAATTAATGTTAATATAATAGAGTACAATTATGATACATAAATGGCATTTAGTCTTTGTACGAATTGACCAATAGATTTGTTCTTTTGTGTTTAATTGTCCGAAGTATCTCATTTCAGTCAATTCAGTGTTTGGAAACTTTTGTTTTTGTCTATGTAAAGTATTTTGATTTTAAAATGACTTTACGAACTCCGATGAAGAGGATACAGTTTGGTTCGCGAGATTTACTTGCTAATGGTGGTGGTTGTCCTGTTGAAGTGAATTGTTCTTTAACTTTTTTGTTTTTTTTTATAAATGATCAATTGTTTTATTATTTTCTTTCAAGGTTTTCTGTCGTTTGCGACCACCTAAAGATAATAATAATGATCAAGAAATTGATAATTCTTCTTCATCTGTTAAAATTTCAAGTTCAACAGAACTTACTCTTTATTCGTCTGAGGTAAATTATACGATATTCATCATCAATTACTATTTATCTTTATTTCTAGAATGCTAAAAATGGTCAAATTCGAGAAGTAAGTGTTTGTTTGTTGCTTTTGATTTTCGAATTCAAATTTTATTTGTTTAGTCTCATTATGAATTTACTCATATTCTTACTGATGATGTTTCACAATCAGCTGCATTTAAAGAATTAGCCATACCTCTTCTTGATGATCTTATTCAAGGAAAAAACAGTATGTATTTCTTTTTTCTAGAAAATAAATCTTGTTTTATATAAACAAAATTTAGGTGTATTGTTTACATATGGTATAACGGGTTCGGGAAAAACTTATACAATGATGGGACCATTGAATAATCCTGGTTTAATACCACGTTCATTTGATGTGATTTTTAATTCAATTGGATCATATCTTGGAAAGAAAAATGTTAGTTTTACTTGATTTTTATTTTCATGTTTTATTTTTTTGTTTTGATTCGATTATTATTTTAGCTTCTACGTTCGGATCGTCAAAATGGTTATGAAATTCAAAGTGAAGCTGAGATTTTACTTGAACGACAACGAAAAGAAATTCCAATAACAAAAGCTAATAATAATCAACGTGCAAAGTTAGTTTATTTTATTTCTTAAAAAATGAAAAACTATTAGCACAATTCTTCCAGGATTAAAATTTGAAACACGATGTAGTTGCTCTTACTAATCATAGAGAGATTACTTTAATCTATCTATTTTGACGCATATTTCTTTATCATTGTTTTACTTAATTCTCGAGTAAATGTCTATAAGAAGTCGGGGTAACTGTGCCTACTGTCAAAATAAAATGAATAATTTTTTAATGATATGTATTTTAAAAAATCATGCGAGAAATAAGGTTATTAGAAAATAAAGGAAGTGGTACTTTTTCCATAGGCTATACCCCCCCCCCCCCCCTCCGTAAGGTTTCTTTTCGTTTCAATATTTTTTGGTTGTGGATAGTATGAAGATGCAAAATCATCCGATCAGACCTTGGACATTTTTAGTCTTAGCAAAAAAATCAATATTTTAGAGAACGATCATTTATATAGGAAAGTACTAGAAAATAGGGAGTATTTAAAGGTTTCTGTAGTCGAAAGTTGATTTTTATGTAAAATGAGTATGATATTCAGAATCAGCATCAAAAATTACACTAGACAGTCTATTTTTTATTGTAAAATATTTTCCATGGAAATCTGACGCCCTATCCCCCTTCAACCTTTTATCCATGAGATTTTTCTCCCTGGTCCTCTACGGGTCAAATTTTCATGGAAAATATTTTACAATGAAAAATAGACTGTCTAGTGTAATTTTTCATGCTGATTCTGAATATCATACTCATTTTACATAAAAATCAACTTTCGACTATAAAAACCTCTAAATACTCCCTATTTTCTAGTACTTTCCTATATAAATGACCGTTCTCTAAAACATTGATATTTTTGGCTAAGACTAAAAATGTCCAAGGTCTGATTGGGTTATTTTACATCTTCATACTACCCACAACCAAAAATTATTTGTGCGAAAAAAAACCTGCAGGGGGAAAGGGGGTATAAGCGCCACTTTCTTAGTTTCATCAATTATCAACTAATACTGATAATGTTGGTACTTGACCATTTTATAAACGATTTATTACAACTGAACCAAGGCTTAAAAGTTTTCATGTTTGATATTGTTTACTTGTCTTATAAAATAGCATTTGTTGCCTTAAATTTTGATGGTACAGCTACGAACGAAATGAAGAATTGAGGGTTAGCAGAGTAACAAGTTTTTTCTAACTTGTTCTCTTACCTCCGACGGATTGATTGCAGCCTCTGGCACACAGTTTGTCATGTGTATTTGGAAAAGCAAAACAAAGGTTAACTTAAACAGTGATGGCAATGAAAGAAAAACTTTATTAACTAATTTTCTATATTAAAAAATTTTCATGTACACAATAATTCTCCGAAAATTTTTTCGTTACGCGTGCGGTAGAGTTGTACAGCATAGGACAACCCTGGATATCTCTAGCGCATGGACGCACATGAGTACATTCTGGAGAGAGTCTGGGACCAAGTTTCTATCCGTATACTTCAACAATCTTTTTAGATCATGTTTCATTAAAGAAAAAAAAAATTTGTTTTTGTAGAGCTTCTGAACCAACGAATATTCGTACATTAGATATGACATCAATATGGAATGCACAATTAAATGAAAATTGTTCATATTTTGTTTTTGTTACATTTGTTGAAATTTATAATAATTATATATATGATTTATTTGATGATGATATTCTCAATAAGTAAGAATATTTCTAAGAAAAACAAAAAAAATTAATTTAAATTTTTATAGAGCACCACAATCAAAACAATTACGTGAAGATAATCGTGGACGACCTTATATAAGAGATGTTAAAGAAATTGAAGTACGTTCAAGTGAAGAAGCTATTGAATTACTTAATATGGGTTTAAAACGTCGTCGTATTGCACATACACAATTAAATACTGAATCAAGTCGATCACATAGTGTTCTTTCAATGCGTCTTATTCAATTTCATAATGATATTCCATTGACATCACTTGTATGTGTTTGAAATTTTTCTTAAATTTTCTAAAATTTTTATATAATTAGACAAAAGATGATCTTACAATAAGTACGATTCATTTGGTTGATTTAGCTGGAAGTGAACGTGTCAATCGAGCAAAGACTGTTGGTGAACGAGTAAAAGAAGCGAGTAAGAGAAGTCTTTTGTTTTGTTTTTTTTTAATGTTTGATTCCGATTGAATATTCTTAAGGTAATATTAATTCATCATTAATGGTTCTTCGACAATGTTTTGAAGTTTTACGAGAAAATCAAGCACAAGGTACAAGCAAGGTAAAATATTTATTCGAATGAGTATTTTTTTTTTCTTCTTTTCTATGAATGAATTATTTAGATGGTACCATATCGTGAATCAAAATTAACATCATTTTTTAAGAGTTATTTTGATGGTGAAGGTCGTATACGAATGATTCTTTGTGTTAATCCAACTGCTGATGGATATGAAGAAATTCAAGTAAATTTATATTTTCATAATTGTTTTTTTTTTCTCTATTATTGAATATTTGAATTTTTATTTATAGCATGCACTTAAATTTGGTGAATTAACTAAAGATGTTATGGTACCACGTGCTTTGCCTCCACCACCGCCACCACCTCCAATTCCACCTAAAGTAACTCGTGGTCATGGTGTTTTACGTGAAGTTGATAATCAACAACAACAACAATCTGTACCTTTTTTTACTGAATTCAAGTGAGTTATGTTGATTCTAGGTTTTCGAATGTATTTTTTATTAAAAAGTGTAACAAATCATACGCATTGAGAAAATTTATTGCAAAACAGACTAGAACCTTGTGGAGTCAAACGTTTCTGACTCTTTGATAGTACTTTGGCTCTTACATACATTGAGATGTTTTTTTAACTATGAACCAGGCGCAGTCTGACTGGTCGAGTTAGAATCCAGTTAATTGAGGCTGATAAACACTTATTGTTTTATGTCATATTATTAATTAAATCCCTATCGGCAATAGAAGACTCCTAAACGAATGATGCGTCGGGTGTAATACAAGACATTCTCTTCACTTAATTAATTAATTTTTTTTTAAAGGAGTAGAACTTTAATTACTATATATTAGATCAAAACGTCCTCAGTTTTTTGAGTTTGGAGTTGAAAATCTTAAAAGACTAGGGTCAGCACTATTTCTGGGCTTTTAAAGCCGTGAAAACATTTTTCCGAATCCACAAAATCGTTTTGATCTTTTAAAAAACTATTTTAATTAAAAATTATAGAAATAGATACGATACAATAGAAAACTCGGAGTCTTCGATCGTGAAGGAAGAGAGACGGTTAGCAGAGACAAACGACCTACAATCACTAGAATGTGTAGTTATATTTATCTGATAAAACTTTTAAGTAGTTTGAAGTATTGTGTTTCTCCTAAGCTAAGATTCCGAGAAACTCGAAAAACTCGTTTTGACTATCATATATACTTTTTTTTGTGGCACTTGTTAATGAGAATGTGTCTCTAATGTTTTTTTCTTGAAACTTATGAATCTATAGAGTCGTGTATTTTTGTTCATTATTTAACATATGAATGATAAACTTGTTACGTACTCTGCAAGAGTAAACATGCTTGTCTGTTCTACTGATATATCTCCGACTCGAGGGACATTTAAGCTTAGCCAGAAGAACACCATAGTTCAGAAGAGTTAGTTCTTACTCACAACTCGGTACTTGTCCTCGACCTAATCCCTTCTATCTTATAATAAAATATATGGCGGGGTTTTATAGAAAGTTTCCGATAAATCGCAAGAAATCCTAGAGCCTATTGTCGGAGTCCGATATAGAACTCTAAAACAGAGATTCAAAATTCTGTTGCTTACAAAAATAACATTTCTTTCTGAATAGAACTTATTTTTTGAGGTAAAAGGTAAATTTGTTTTTTCATTTTTTACATTTCATATAAAATAATGAATTATATCAACAAATAATTCTATTTATCTAGTGCACAAGCTTTAATTGCTCCATTTCCACCACTTGAATATTCTCTATTGGATGGAGTTGGTGTTGATGAAGCTATACTAAGTCTTGAAGAACATCTCCGACGGCGTATCGACGAACGACATCGACTTAATATGGTAAAAATTGTTTGATTTTCTTTTCATATATAAGTTTTTGTTAATCTAACATTTATTTATAGTTAATTCATGAACAACATGATTATTTACATAAATTTACTCTTGAATTTGCATCAGATTATGATTCAACAATATCTGATCATGATGAATTAATGAAAGAAAATGAACAACAAAGTAAAACAATTCGTCATTTACAAACACGTATTAAATTATTAGAAAAATCTCAAAATGATTTTTATAAAACAACAAATCAAATGGAACGTGAAAATAAAACATTAAAATCAAAAATTGAAGATCGAAATAATGAAATTAAATCTTTAAAAGTTGAACGACGAAAAGATAAAATTGATTTTGAAAATAAATTAAAAATAAAAATAAATGAACTTGAACAACAATATGTAAATTATTGATTTTATATTAAATTAAATTTATTATCTTTCTTTTTTTTGTTCTTTTTAGTTTAATGAATTAAAAACCAAAGAAATACAAATGCGTGAACTTGAACGACAACATGATGATAAATTAAATATCATTCGATCAATGGCTGCAACAAATACAAATACTCCAACAAATGAGTAAAGAAATTTGTTTTTTTTTTTTTGCTTTAATATTAAATTCATATATTAGAAATGTTTATCAAAATCCATTATCAGCACGTAAACGATGTCCAAGTGAAGAACGTATTCTTCAAGAAGTAATTTTATTGAATTGTTTAATAAAAAATTTTTATTTTTGAATCTTTTTTCTAGACATCGACACAATCACCTGTGTCTCGTCAGGCTCCAGCTGTACCACCTAAGTAAATCAATATTGATTTATTTTCTATTTAATTTTTATTTTCTTCTAGACGATTTCGAATGTAAAAAAAAACACAAATAAATAAACTCGTCATCAATCAATTTGATTTGTCTTCTTCTTTTTTTCTGTACATTTTGACTTTACAAATGTCTAGTTTATGCTTATGTATCTCTTGTAGAAAAAGATAATAATTAAATAAATCTATTCTTAATTATCAATTATTCAACGATTTGAATTTGTTTTTTAAGTAAGAAGAAACCGTTTATATAGAAGAAAGAATGTCAAATATATAGTCAAAACATGGAAGTAAGGATTTATTTCGCCATTGAGTTTCTATCGAACTATTTAGAATATTGTTGAAAATGATCGTATTTAGTTAATCGAAGTTCTTAATAGACTTGAAAATTTTCATCGAAAGATTATTTTAATATACAGTAAAATATACCATATTGAATATTTCGTGGTGCGATGAAGTGACTTTTGTTGAAATCGATACTATGCTTAAGTGTTTGGACAGAATGGTTCCAATTGTTCATCTACAATCAGTAACTCTTGAATTTGTTGTCATCGATTCTTCCATTTCTGTTTTCAGCTACTGAAATGTTAATCATCACCTAATGAGAACTGATTCAAGTTGAAGGAAAAAAGATGACAATATCTCTTTGAAGGAAAGCTTATCAATTTTGCCTGAATCGCTGAAAACGATGAGACACTTTTATCTTTTTGTGTATAGATGCGGCCTGATTTTGAAAGGACTGGAGCTGTATGGGCCTCGTTCGTGTTTATGTTTCGAGAAAACGAGACTAGTCCGACTAATAAGTCATTGCAGAATGGCATCATGAATTCTGCCTGATTGTTAAAAAGACGAAAGAAGCAAAGAGCGAGGAAAAGTCATACTTTGCTCAACAGTATGGATATATTCGCTTGATCAAGAACATGAAAGGGTGGAAAAGTAATTTTGATAGTAAGAGTGACGGTGAGACTTATCGTCACTATCACCTTCATTTAGGGATGCACCGGTGATGAAAACTGATTCACTGGCAACCGTAACGAAGCAGTGATCTATTCATCCACGGCTATTAGGGAGGATGTTTACGTTATCACTGACGGAGTAATAGAAAATTCGTGATTTTCATTCTTTCGTCAAGAGATGGCTGCTGAAGGAAAATCACCATTTTCTATAAAGTTTGATAAAAAGTTTTCGGGATCGAGAAGTTTGAATCTTTGATCGGTTTCTTGAAATTGTGTACTTGATCTATTGGTCAAGTTTTCTAAAATAGCCTTTCTTTGACGAAAAACTCAAGTATACAGCTTAGAGAAGCTGATTACAGATTTGGATTCCTCGATGCTGAAAATCTTTGATCAAACTTCATAACAAAATCATGATTTTCCCTCCATAGCTATTCGCTGACGAAAAAGTCAAATCTACGAATTTGTCGTTACTCAGTAACCGATAACGATAACTTCCTAGTCCTAGTGAATATCGATGAATATCAGCCACCGCTTCGAGCCGATAAAATGGTGATGGTAAATTGGTGAACGATCGCTATCATTGCATTCCTACCCGTATTCAGATCACGATTGTTGATTACTGATGAACTAAAAAATTGCCTCTTCTTCAAAACATAATACGAATATGATCTATTAATCCAACAATAATAATACTGGAGAAAAATTGATAGAATATACTAACCGGTTATCTCATTCATTGTTGTTCTATAGATATTTAGAAGAATGTGCCTGGTTGTTTTCCGAAAAAAAAAACTTAGATTTTCGAAATACTTCATCTCTCTATAGTAGACACTTTCGAAAAGTTTGAAGATTGTCCACTACAGAGAGGTTCTACTATAGATATATAATCAACAATAATTATTTACAAGGTAACGCTCATCCTACGGATTCACTGACCCTTTTCTGAAAGAAAAACAGGAGAAGATTTTGAGATATTTTTTATTGAAAATAATCAAATTTGTCTTGTAAGAAAGAATTGAAGAGGTGATTCAATAATTGAATAATGTTTCGAAATGTTTTACTTAAATAATCATTTGTCTTATTTAATGACAGACGTTGTAACTTTATGTATTGTTCTTCCTTCAGTAATAAAATCGTGCCTTTTGATAATTAATCTTTGGTTATGAATTTTTCTACCACTGAATTATCGGATTTATTTTGATTTAGGATTTTGTATCGGCAATCAAAATCATCAAAAACGTTCATGTTATATTGTAAAACCGTAAAAAATCATCAAAAATTAGAAGGTGTAAGCCATGTTTTGCATCGAGCGAATATTTTTTTTATCATTTTGTAGAGAAAAAAAAGCTGCATAACGTATATAAAATTGAGCTTGGAGTCTCTTGATCTTGAAACAGAGCATAAGATATATTGATTTTTTTAGAACTGATCAAAAAGACTCCTTTTGACTGATATTGACTTTATAAAAGATGAGTTGCTAAACATTATATTAGAATCCATGTAGCTCATTTTCTTCGGCTTTTAATCCTCTATCTTTTTGTATATACCATGAACAATTTCAATAAACTATTTAAACACAAGCTGGCACAACTTTTCTAGAGAATTTTTTTCTTAAGAAGGTATAATAGTGACAAAAGTCGGTATTAGCTAACTCTTCAAAGGAAGCCTATTGGAACCTAAAATTTTAGGGCCGATGGTTTTAGATATTGATACGTTGAATGAACAATAAAAATCAAAAAAAAAAACTTTTTATCGAGTGCCTCGTATACTTGGCCTCCTGATGTACGCTCTCTTAAATATCTCCGCTTCAATTCAATCAAATTGGCTGATTTTTTAGCTGGTGGTAGAAGTTTAGTGAACACTTTTTTTTTCATACGGATAATGTAAGTAAATCCTATTATTAATTCTTAGATTTGACTTGAGATAAAAGAAATTTAACCTGATGTCAAGTAAGAAAAATAGATGTGAAGCATTTTATAGATAATTTCCAGTTGTTATCTGAGGAAATGGCAAGAAGAAATCAAAATTCTTAAATTTGTTAGCGTTTTCTTTTTGTCTTGAGAAACTTTCTCTTCTAACATATATCAACTGACAAAAATCTAAGAGGTTTGAGAATATGTTTAAAAATTTATAGAAAAAAAATAAATAAAAAAAATGTTGCTTGTTTATCTTTGATAGAATCAACATTCGAGATAAGTATTGAAAGATCCCACCTATCTCTATTGAACTACATTGTCAAAAAGTATACTAAAATCAATAGGAGCTATCAATAACAAAATTAATAAACCAATTTAAAAAGTTTTTTAGTTTTGACAAGAAAAACTCGAAAGATGTCTAGAAAAAAAAGGAAATAAAAGAAAAGTTAATAAAAATAAAAATGTTTTCATATTGGTATATTCATAGTTATCAATATTTGTTTTGTTTGTTTGTTTTCTTTTATTCATACGATACATAATAATTTATTCTAATTAATATTATTTGAGTTGATCGAACTTTTTCTGTAGGTGATGAAGTGTTCTTACTATTGATATTAGTCGAAATCTTTCCATTATTTATTAAATTGTGGTTCTTTATTGTTGTTTTTTCTCTCTTATTATATCTTTTGTAAAATAGTTTGATCAGCTTTTATAGTCTTCGATAAAGTCTAACATTTTAAATATTCTCACTAGAAATTTTTCATTCTGTTTTTTTAATATGTCTTCATGTCGCGTGTATCGTCTTTTGATGTGACTTGTTAATTAGCATGAAAATAAAAATTGTTTTCTATAAAAAAGGTATGTTGTTTGTATTGTATGTATTGTATAAATAAAGTTCTTCATATTAATTATATAAAATAATATTTAATCAATATTATTTTCTTTTTATATTTTGATCATGTATTTTTAGAGTTATTTTTATTCAATGATTTGTTGTTTTTTTTTTTTCATTAGTGAATTTCTTTCATTTTTGTTAGAGATATATTGAACAATTCATATTCAATCGAACTCATAATTGAGAGATATTTTTTCTGATTAAATAATGAATTGATGACAATCCATTGAAAATACTTTTGATTTTTGTAATAAAATTAATTATAGAGGAAAGTTGGATTTTATAAAATATTAACATCTATTAAATGAGCATTTATCTTGGTTATTATGATAATTAGATGACGACTTTTTTCAATATATTAATTTCATCGAGGTTTGCACTCTTGGAATAGAATCATTAGTTTATTTAGAATTAAAATCTTTACCAAATAAAGAATGAACAATCCCGAAACTAAACTGTTACATATCGAAATAATATTAAATAATCGATTATTAAATCTAACGGATGAAATATTCTCGATCAATTGTCCAATTGCTTTTTCCTTTAAATTATAACTATTCGATCGATCATGATCATTTATTTAAAAAAGTCTATTTTGCTTTCGTTTTCTACTTTTCATTGATTCAGTTATGACCGTTTCAATCAATTTTTACTCTATGAGCATAGAACCTGAATGATTGAATTTCTCATCAATGGCCGAATTTCACAAGTTCTGAACAACTGGTTGCATGAAAACGTCGCCAATTTCAAGTTTTTTTTTTTTGCTTGTAAGAATCGGAATCGTATTGGAATCGATACTATCGGCTTTTCTTTGGGGTCGAAATCACTGACACCTACCCCTGAGTATCTTAAGTTCTTAGAGTTTATTAGATTCTCTGAGCTTGTTGAATTTTTTGAGTTCTCTTAGTTTCTGGAGTCTTTGAAGTTTTTTGGGTTCATTTAATTCTGAGAATAACATCAGTTCTGATAGCTTCACGAGTTTTCTCGAATTCCGTGGACTCTTTGAGTTCTGCTCAATTGTAGTAGATAAGTAATTATTTTTTAATAATATTTGAATTTCAAAATCCTCAAGAATTCAGAACTCACAGAATCCGAAGACATGTCGTAATAAAAAAAATCAGCCTGAAGATAAAGTAGCAAATCTCGTTACATGATGGCTCTTATAGACTTTTATTATTCCAGTGAATAAATTGATTTGATTGGTTCTTTCCAGAAACAATATTTATCATGTTAATATAATATGAGGACAGTTTCAACTATATTTATTCATTTTGATAAATATAAGAGACTGATATTTGTCATGAGACATTATCTCAAATAATATATAATTATTATATTCAGAAAATTATTAATGAACAAAAGATCTTTGAGATTTATTTTTAGATTTCAAAGGGAAAAAGAAATGAGAAACTACAAAAAAAAAATATAAGTTTAAATGGTTAAAATCTCGAATTAAATGAAAAGTTAAATTTGTTGAATGGTTAAAGATCTTTTTGCATCAATAAGTCTTGCTAATTTGAAGGCAAATTTTACAATGATTATCTAGAAAATAAAATAAGTATAATACAAATAAAAATGTATAAGATAAAATAGTTACTGTAAGAATCAAACAAGCAATACAAATAATAATAACGAAGAAGATAGCTACTGATGCACCAATCAAAATACTCTTGTTCATATCATCATCAGTTATGTTTGCAGCAGCTGTAGCTGTGATAGCAAAACAGATGATAACAATAATTATAATAGAAAATATAACCAATTCAATAATACCCAGCCAAGCAAACTAAAAATTATAAATGAATATATCAATTTTAATACAAATATTTTCTTGGAACAATATTAATCTAATGTATTGTTTCAGCTTTTTTCAATAAATTTCGAATATTATTTTAAGAAAGAAAAATGCATTGAAAAAGATATAAAAATAAATGTAAATTCATGAAGACGTTATATAACATAAATTGATAACTTGTATGATTACAAACTATTCAAATCATTATTTATTAAGGTTAAATCGACAAAAATTTTCTTTCGAAAAAAAGTTTTTTTAAAGTCAGATGAAATTTGTTTTTTGAGTTAAAATAAAATTGATTTTGTTGAAATATATTTTATACAAAAATAGTATATTAAAAGTGAAAACAAAATATGTAACATACCACTCGTAAACCTGTTTGATAATATCGATGAGCAACGAATATTCCAAAGCTATAGAAAAGAATTGCAATAACAGATTGACCCATTTCCACACCACGTCGTCCGTCTTGCATGCCATGTCTAACTTCACTTCCAGAAACGGCATTAATCATACCAACCACAGAAAGAGCCTAATATATATATACCATCAATTAAAAATAGATTCTTAGAATTTCTATGAATAAATTTTGAAAATTTCTCTGAGAGTATGAATATTGTTAGAGAAAGACTATATTATCGATTTAATCAAACTATAAAACAATTTCATTTAATAAAATAATCTTTACATTAGGATGAAATATAGTTGATTTTCATGTTTATTCAATAGATGAAGATAATCTTACATTAATTCGAATAAATATCTTATCTTATCTTATATTATGTCAGAATTGAGTAAAAGAATAGTTAAAAAAAAACGATTACTCTTCTTAATTTACAAAAACCATTGATTATTTATTGTTTTTATTTATTTAAACACGATGATTTATGTCTTTTTATTTATAATATAGTTTATCTCAATATTTTTTCAAAAAACTCAACTAAAAAAAGAATTTCTTTTTAAAAAAAAAAATTGTTCGAAAATTTTTGAATTTATCTGTTTAAATATTGAAAGAAAAATAATCTCAAACTATAATAAAATTCCAAATATATTTATCTGATTATTTCATTTTCATGTTACTTTTAAAAACTATCTATTCTTGTTCATATAAATATAAAAACACTAAAAACTTACAAGACACACGCCAAGTATAATTATAAGAATTTTACGAGTTCGTCGTATTTCAGGATCTTCATTCAATAACAATGGTCTGGATACAGGTATATAAGGAGTATTGATCATATCCACTTTTTCACTTCCTTGTTCGTATTGCATTTTGATTATGCGTCGTTTAATTTGTAGAATAAGCGATGGAGGATGCAGATAATGGAACTAGTAATAACGAGAGAAAAAGAATAAAAAAATAAGCGACATGATATCTCTTTCTCCCGTCGAATTTATTACATATTACAGAGAACAGCTAAAAAAACAAGTCGACACTTATCGCAGTAATGCATTCCTATGCGCAGAAAAACAACAGAACTAACAAAATAAAATACTCTACAACTTTCAACGTCATCAGAGTATATTGGTATTTGACCTAGTCAAAAAAAAACAACGGATGGTTCTTCAATTTGATTTATTCCGTGCAAAGATTGAAAATATTTACTCTTTTTATATTTTCTTTTCTTAATGATAATCGCCTACACTTCGTTCATCGAAATAAATTGTAGAGATATATTCTGTAGTTTGATGTTTGAAGATTTTTACATTCTTTCAAGAATCTAATATGGTGGTTGTACTAATCGAATCAGAATAAAACAAAAGAATAAATATACTCAATCATCAATAATATTAATATTATTTCAATTTTAATTACTCTTCTACAATAGTTTACATTTATTTAAAAGACAATTAATTTAGAACTGTTTCGAATGCATTAGCTTTTTTTCTTCCGTGCATTTTAGCAATAAAATATAAAAGAACAAAATGATAAATGTAGAATTGTTTATATGTTTTATCTTTTTCTTACGTTAATGATAGAGAAGATGACCTTTAACTGATCACGTCGATTATTAACGTCTTGTTTCTTCTTTTGTATTAGTAACGCAAGAAAAAGATAAAAGAAATCTAAACAATGGTCAACTTATAATTTCGTTCTCTTATATTTTATTGTTACTATCCATTGAAGAAAAGGAGGTAATCATTCCGAAATGTTTATAAATTAATTATTTTAAATAAATATAAACTATTGTGGAAGAGTAATTAAAAATTAAATAGTTAAATAATTCTAACGTCATTCTAATTAAATATAAAAAAGTTCATCAAAAGTATTTATAGGAGTGCAATGATCAGTTGTCAAACAAATCTTGTTTTATTATAGAAATTGACTTGGAATTCTTAAAAAAAAATTCACACATTATAGAAAACCGATAGAAAACGATGATTATTATTGATCTTTAATAGATACACTTCACTATAATTCCATTGCGTTGATGCTATTTGTTAGTTTACTAATAATTCATAAACAGCCAATAAAAGAAAAGATGCCGCCAGATGACATTAGAAAGATAGAACATTAAATTCTGCATACTTCTCTCTATTGACTTTTTCTTTTATTGAATATATTAAATAAATGTCGACGTCGAAATTGTCTTTGAAGAATCTATCAGTTTTGAACATTTTCGATGATAACTATGATATAAAGATTAGTTTTTCTTTTTCGAACTGAATATTAAAACTAATACTATATGTTAAGGAAATATTCTTTCTTATGAACTATATATGTGCATGCTAATTTTCTTCTTCTTTCTCTTATATGTATCTGTTCTTTAGTTCTTCTTGTTCACTTAAAATCGTTCGCTCATTTCTATTTTCTCACAGTCAATAAACTTCGATATTGACCTTGCTCTTTTTTTTTTTCTTTTTTTTTGCGCATTAATTTTTCTATTGCATAGCTTATAATACGTGATAGTATTATCATCATATATATACACGTATTTCGTCTATTCATACAGAGAATGGTTATTGTTGGCATCCTCTTCTGCTTGATTCTTTCATTATTGAAATAAAATTGAACTCACGTTCAAACTAAACAGAAAAAAAAAGAGCAAGGTCAATATTGATGTTTATTGACTGTGAGAAAATAGAAACGAGCGAACGATTTTAAGTGAACAAGAAGAACTAAAGAAGAGATACATATAAGAGAAAGAAGAAGAAAATTAGCATGCACATATATAATTCATAAGGAAGAATATTTCCTTAACACTATAGATCAACGTAATTTTTTATGTTCTGTAAATGAGGGTTATTCCGAATTCGCTTATAAGCCTCCAGCCAATAAGAATAGAGATGAACATATATCATGTGTTGCTAAGAGCGGCTTGTCTTCTTTGAGTTTTTTTTTCTTTTCACTATCTGTTCGTTCCTCTTTCATATGAAAGAAGAACGAACAGATAGTGAAAAGAAAAAAAATTCAAAGAAGACAAGCCGCTCTTAGCAACACATGATATATGTTCATCCCTATTCTTATTGGCTGGAGGCTTATAAGCGAATTCGGTATAACCCTCATTGACATAGTCAACATATTTACTATTGACTTCTGTCTGATATTATCCCAGTGAAAAATATTTATTAAAAAGAACAGCAAAGAACGTGTTCATGAAAACATGGAAGGTTGCCTTTTACGTGAAGAATACTCTCCACAGTTTAGTAAATGCGTTCATAAACGAAAAGAAACATGCTGAGTTAAAGGAATGCATTCTTTGCTGTTCCGTATTATTACAGAATGATTTCTTCTCAACTCAAAAGCCGTCTCTATCTAGATAGAAAGCATTCTCAACCGTTCCATAAACCAATAGAATCAGTTTCTATCTATTCTTTTTTCAAATGGTCAGGATAGAATTCCATCAAAATAAGATTCTTTTCTTTGACCTTCTCTAGAGAAACACCTTAGAATGGTGTTGTTGAACTGATGAACGTATTTCAGATGTTCTAAGATCATTCTTAGAAAAAAAGAATGTATCCTCGAGTGTTTCTCTAAATTGTTGAATGCTTCATCTGGATTCAACGTTGATTTCGATTCAAAATTGACAGCTTTGGGTCACAACACATTGAAAGTGATGTTAAAAATGGTGGGACATCGATGAGTTGTATCCCATAGCTGGCAGTCCTGATTTCTAAAAAAAAAAATGTTTCGAATAATAGTTTGAGCTACGAAGAATCGGAGCACACCATTGGATAGAGTTCGTCGAGTTGTACTAGAAGAGATCTCTCGGCGAATCAGGTGTTAACTTCAGTTGCTTCTCTTCAACGATTCTTGTAGGATATGTCAATCTAGGTGATAATCACCAAGGACGCGTTCCAAACAAAAACCTTTACTTTTTTTAAGAAAAAAAACCTTCCAGAAAAACTAAAATACGTTATAAAATGGAACGGCTAAGAACGCATTCCACTTTTATAGCAAACGTTTTTTTTCTTAAAAAAAGTTTTCTACGAAAGTGGAACGCGTTCTTTGCCGTTTTTTTTTTGATAAATATTTTTCACTGGGTATAAAGCAGAAAGGTAATGAAGTATTAAAATATGTGTGATATAAGAGTATGAGGGTGTAGACTATCTATATACACAATGTGGAGTGTCTATATGAGTGTTACTGCGTGAAAGGTTAAAATAGAAAATAGCCGTGCAATATGCACAGGCTCACGTTAGTATAATTATATAACTTAGTGTTTATTGAAATGTATTAATAAAAAATATGATATTTATAATAAAATACTTTATATTTGTTTATTCATTATTTTTGTTTCAATAAACTAAATTAGTTGAAATAATGTTGAATATTTAAACATTTTGTCGGAGAATGCCTATGAATAAAAGTTTGAATATTACAGTGATATGCTTTGTTTTTAAAAGCTCTTTATTCTTAATTTTAATTTTAATATAAAAAGACTTTTATAATTTAGTAATATTTGTTTTTGTATGAATGTCTCTGATTAGAAGTTTCTCTTCTCAAATTTGTCACATATTAAAACAAATATTTCAACTATAATTTAATTTATCAATATTCGAATTCTATATGATGTTAGTATCTAATTCTTTGGCGTAAATAAAGGTTTGCATTAGAGCTCATTTAAACAGGTTTTCTTTTTGACTGAATATCAATGATAATTTTATATCAGAATGTGTACAATTAACAATATTCTATTAATAATTGAATATAAAAAATCTTTAACCCATATTTAATTGATTAAAATAAAAAATGATATACTCTAAAGATTCTAAAAATACGACAAGAATATTATTTACATGATTAACTAACTTTTTTTTGCTCTTCAATTTATATTAACAAGCATCAGTTGACATGATCAAAAGTTAATCAATAATCAATAACAAGTAGTTAAATGTTCGATTAATAGATGGAAGTATTCTATAAGAATATATATCCTATTTATATAACAGAATTTATTCTACCTCTTATATCAATATCGATGTCAGATGAAAAAAAATATATCACAATCTTACATTAAACAATTGAATAGAGGATAAATCTCCTTATGCAAACATAAATCATTTTCATGCTTTTCTGTAAATTGATTATCTTATTGAACATATGATTATTTTTATAATGGAAAGAAAATAAGTTATAAAACAAAAGGAAAATATGTTATACTATCGAGATAAATGTTAATTGGTTAATAAGATTTAAGACTATTTTTGTCAAGGCGTTAACTATAGGACAAATTTGTGTCATTGATATTGGATATGAATTTTGTTTTTACATTATACGATTTAGAAGATGAAAATAAGCAGCAAAAAACTCTAATGAATATGAATCGTTTTTGTCATTTGATAATGAGTAGATAAATCATATTGATCGGTTTAATTCAATGATTTCAATGATATGTTGTCCACTTGAGTTTTTCTATTTATGATTATCTTATTTAAAGGAATAGAAAGAAATTTTTCGAAAATTAATATGTAAGAGAATATTTATCCTTAAATTCATTTCATATATACCCCTGGAAAGCAAAAGTTAGCCACGTTATTTCGGATATATCGTTACTATAACAGCATATTCTCAAAAGAATAATACTATATTCGAAAAGCGCGTGAAATTCTCTACCACCCTGTATATTTTTATTACAGTTTGCCATCATAGAATATCTAACAAAATTGAGTACAACCAAGACAACCTCATGTCCAGATTCCCAAATACTTGATTTTGCCAATGCCATCAAAAATAGTTTTTGAAATTTTCCATCACTATAAAATGATCCTATAAGAAAGGAAAATATATATTCTGATAGAGCGTGAAATTCTCTATCACTCTGTATATTTATCTGTTTTTTCGCATTTGTTCATTGGGGAAATAATTTGACAACAATGACATAATCTCAACTGACAATTTCAAAAAAATCAGCTTTTTCTTCTTTTTCTTCAATGATGGTAATCACGAAAATAAACTTTCACAATTGTAACGATGTAGTCTGATAGAGCGTGAGATTCTCTATCACCCTCTGTCTTTTTTTATTTGAACTTGTCTGCTAAAAGAATAATCGAAATGAAGATAAAGACTGTGCTTCAGACAAACTCTGGAAAATTTGACCTGGTTCAACCTCCCTTTGTTTTTATTTCGTGTTGATTAGCCACACAGGAATGACTTTTTGGAAACTTTATCGTATATTTTGATAGTCCTTCATTTTCTAGATAAGTCTAATATGGTGGAATAAAAAACGGAAAGGATAGTAAAATGGGGGAACTGGTGGAGTTTGTCAGTAGATGGTTTCTGGATATTACTTGAATTGATTTGCATCTCATAAATATGAGACAGGACATAGCCGTTACATACGATGATAGAGAATTTCACGCTCTATCAGAAGATGTAATTGCATCACTAAAAGTTCATAGTTTAACTAACTAAAATTCAAACAAGAAAACTAAAACGAAGCATCAAAAAGTGTCGATTTTTTGAAATTGTCAGTTGAGAATATGTCATTGTTGTCAAATTATTTCCCCAATGAACAAATGCGAAAAAACAGATAAATATACAGAGTGATAGAGAATTTCACGCTCTATCAGAATATATATTTTCCTTTCTTATAGGATCATTTTATAGTGATGGAAAATTTCAAAAACTATTTTTGATGGCATTGGCAAAATCAAGTGTTTGGAAATCTGGACATGAGATTGTCTTGATTGTACTCAATTTTGTTAGATATTCTATGATGGCAAACTGTAATAAAAATATGCAGGGTGGTAGAGAATTTCACGCGATTTTCGAATATAGTATTATTCTTTTGAGAATATGCTGTTATAGTAACGATATATCCAAAATAACGTGGCTAACTTTTGCTTTCCAGGGGTATATATATCTAAAATTTTGATTAAAATCATTTTTTCATCCTTAGAATAATTCAAGAACATAAAAATCATTTTTTTTTATAAAGAAGAGAAAAGCAAAACTTCCTATTCGAAATGAAAAGATCTATACTATTTTAATAATAATAACAATTCAATAATATATTTTGTTAGAGATACGAATATAAAATAAAATAGAACCTATCAAGAGAGCTCTTGATAGAGAATATAAAATAAATATTTTAATAAAATAATTTAACAAATATCTATCGAATTAAATAGATTTTAATTTAACTAAAACAAAATGATTATCTTTTCTAGAATAAACAATTTTAAATGATCGAAATTCTGATAATTGATCATTCATCTATATGAATTTTCAAATAATTATTATCATTAAAAATAGCTCTTCAGATTTATGTTAACTTAGTCAAAATGATCATTGTTTTTATTTTCGAATTGTCTATAATTTAATACAAGAAAGAAAAACAATAGATTGATATAATAACATACCTCTATACTATAAGAAGATTTTTTCAACCACTATCTTATATTAACAAATATATAAAGATATTTTCCATTTCAGGAAAGAAACTTATTTGTTGGTTGAGAAATTTTTTTTCTTGATAAATAATATTGTTAACATTCGACAAGGTCGACATTAAAAAGAAAACATTTATACTATTCAATAAAACTCAATTAAGAAATAAAGTCATTCTACTAAACTCTAGAAGTCAAGGTTATGATCAAGTTAACATAATATAAAATAATATTATATATTCGATTCGTTTTTTTTTCTCAATCTAATTAATTGCATTAGAATATGTGTATATATACACGTTTTATCATTTGATTTTTTAAAGTTTTCATACAAATAATGAACCTTTCTTAGTCATTTTCTAATGATTATTATTTAAATCGACAATGACATAGTCACATTTTTTATTCTAGTTAGAAGTTATTCAATCTTTTAGTCAAACAAACATTATAATGTTTTTGAAGCATGACGAGAAGTTGAAATAAAATGTCTAAGACGATCAACTAGATGAAAGTATTTATTAAGATAACCTATTGTATAAGTAATATATATTAGGAGACCCCATAGTTTAGCATAAAATGAACCATCACAGCCAACTGTAATTCCATATATACTCAAACTGAGACCAACAATTAATTGCCAAGCACCTAATACAAGAAGAATTGGATATGCATTCCAGACACCAGCAAAATGTGGATACGTAAATGTATGCAGAAGTGAATTAGAAACAATTGTTGCCCATTCATATGATACATCACCAAGTAAACTAGCTAATACTACTGATGATGTTGTTTGATGACGCCAACGAAAATGCATAAGTACTGGTGTTTTATTTAAAATAACAAAGTAAATATCAATAAATTTCCATAATTTACTCAAATAGAATATATACTAAATAAGAGCATATGAACCTTTTGTTGTTGCTCTATGACATACTAATCGATCCTAAGAAATAAATCTATCATCTCTATATGCTATTATATTAGTTAATACCAAAGTTACACCTGAATATATACCAATAAGCAAATTATTATAACGTTGAATACGACGTACATTTATTGGTTTAGTACGATTAGCCATTAACATTTCTAAACTACATGTCATTATGAAATGAACGATCGAAATAAAAACAAGAAATTTCAAAGATGTCAATGGTGTTCGACCAGGTACAAATACAAAATCATCAGGATGCCACATCACTACGAAAAAAAAATCGAACTTAGAAATAGTAATCTGTTTAATGTTATGTATTGGTATGAATTTACACACAAGGTAGCGCTCATCCTACGGATTCGCTGACCCTTTTCTGAAAGAAAAACAGGAGAAGACTTTGAGATATTTTTTATTGAAAATAATCACATTTGTCTTGTAAGAAAGAATTGAAGAGATGATTCAATAATTGAATAATGTTTCGAAATGTTTTACTTAAATAATCACTTGTCTTATTTAATGACAGACGTTGTAACTTTATGAATTGTTCTTCCTTCAGTAATAAAATCGTGTCTTTTGATAATTAATCTTTAGTAATGAATTTTTCTACCACTGAATCATCTTGACAATTCCATTAGGCGTTTTTATTTTTCAACGTATCATGTTAACAACATAAAAAGCTCGTTTCTGATTGGTCGATTTTCCGAACAATGAATGCTTAGATCAAAAGTCCGACCTCGGATTCGAATTCTTCGCCCCCGAAAACCTATTGCAAAGTTTCATCAGATTGGTCGAAAATCCTATGAATAAAAAAGCTCGTTTCTGATTGGCTTTTTGTCGACCAATGAAAGGTCGGATCAAAAATCCGATCTCGGATTCGGACTTCTGAACCCTGAAAATCTATTGCAAAGTTTCATCAGAGTGGCCGAAAACCCGATGAATAAAAAGCTTGTTTCTGATTGGCTTGGACAGGCAAACTTTATGCGTTTTTAATCGCCGTATAATCCTTTCTTTTAGAAAAGGGAATTATCATTTATTGATTTATCTAACATATCAGTGAACACATATTTTGTTTGAAATCTTTATTCATTAAATGATTGTTTAGAATAAATAGAATAGAATTGATTGTACACGTTGATTAAATTAACAACGTTGTACACTTCATAGAAAGTTCAAACGGGTTGCCAGAGTGCAGTAATAGTAAATGGTGTCCAATGTGATGATGATTTGTGTGCTATAATACATTGATAGGTTTGATTTTCAAATGTAACTTGATCGTCAACTTTGTAGTCTTTGTGTATTTCCCAAACAGAATTATTATTACTATTGAGTTCTTCTGTTGATGTTATTGAGACAATAGAAGTTGAATTAATTGAATCAGCTTCAATCGTAGAAGAAATTGATTCAATAGGTGGATTTGATTCTGATAATGCTGGCATATCATTATTTAATGTTTTGAATGTAACATGAATTAATTCATAATTACGATTAGTACTTAATTCCCAAAACATGGCACCAGCTAATTTTTCACGTTTTATATAATCACTTTTTATTCGAATTGATTGACGATCATCATAACTAATCCATATACCTGTTATTGAATTGTAAAGAAAAGGTACTTTAGATTCATTATCCCAATGACGTATATATGTTGGTATATAACTTTTTTTTAAATGATCATAATCAAAAACTCCATTTTCCCATGTACCAGTTGGTAATTCAGTAGAAGCAGGTTGTGAAAATCCATTTAGATTTGTACTATTTACTCCTATATGAAACATAAAACAAACGATTAATCTATTCTATAAAATCGACTTTACCTTGCCAACCACGTCCATATAATCCTAGACCCATAACTAATTTCGAACGAGGTATTCCAGCTGCGAGATAATCTTGAATAGCTTCATGACAATTATATTTTGATTTAATAAATGATGGAGGAACATCTGTTGTTGTTTCAGCATTATTTTTGAACAATGGAGCATTATGACCAGTTTTTGCTTCCCAACCACCTGCAGATTAAAGTTGTAAGAACACATAGAAAGAGTTTATAAAAAAAAAAACTACACACCATGAAAATCATATGTCATGACATTAATCCAATCAAGATAAGTCGACATATTAGGTAAATCCATATCAGCAATACGTTCAGGACTTGATCCTGCTCTATATTTTTACATATCAAATCGAATAGACTTTTTTTGAAAAAAAATATTTATTTCAATGTATTTTATCTTACGCAATAGTCAAAAGATAAGTTTTTTCATCAACTGCACCAGCTTCATCTAACTGTTGTCGAAGTTCTTTCAGTAATAACACATAATTTTGTTTATCTTCCGGTCGTTGAATATTTCCTGGTAGACCACCAGATACAGGATATTCCCTTAAAGTTAAAATAAATATCAATCAGAACAAAGGACATTGCCGAATAGGGTCGTAAATCTACTAGTCCCTTAGATTTCACTTGCAATAGAATGAAATGAGAGAGCATGAAATTCTGCACATTTCCATCTATCAATTTTTTATTTTGTTAAATGCTAAAAAAAAAAATAAGTTTTTAATAATAACAGGTACTATAGTTATTATCGAAAACTTCTTTTTTAGCATTCAACAAAACAAAAAATAAATAGATAGAAATGTACAGAATTTCATGCTCTATCTTTTTATTGTATTGAAAGTGAGATCTAAAAGACTAGTAGTAGATTTATGATCTTATCTCGTCTGTATAGAAACAAGTACCTACCAATCGATATCAACTCCATCGAAGCCATACTTTCGAATAAATTCAACACATGATTGAGCAAATTTATTACGATTTTCAATGTTTACAGCTATATCAGAGAATTTACCAGACCATGTCTTAAAATATTTTATTGTAACAACAAAAAATTAAAAATAAAATTAAAAAATTTACCCATCCACCAATAGATATTGATGTTCGAATATGTGGATATTTTTGTTTAAGTTTAAGTAATTGATTAAAATTTCCACGTAATGATTGTTCCCATGTATCACCTAAATAAGCTTTTTCAACATCAGCCCATGAATCACCTAAAATAATTCGTCCATCGGAATCAATATTAGCAAAAGCATAATTAATATGAGTAATTTTATCTCCTGGAATATCACTAATAAAATATGATCGAGAATAAATTGACCATGCAGCATAATATGCTACAATAATCGCTGCTCCAACCATTTTTCTTTTGTTTATTTGTTTTGTGATATGAAGTTATTCTTCGCCTTTTTTGTACAAGAATAAAAAAAAAAAGGAAAAAGAGAAAAATATTCTTTTAGTTATTTAGAAAAATAAATTGTTTAAATATATTGATAAGCCATTTTCTTCTATGATTAGAAAAAAAGAACGCTTCACACAACACTGATATATATAGAGAGAGTAAAAAAACAAATGTAAAAAATAAAAAACATATGTAATGGAATTTGCAGTTATTTTAAATGAATAAGAATATTAAAAATAATTTCTTTAGAAATCTTACAAACAAACTTTAAGGAACAAATAGAACAACGAAATATGAATAACTGATTACTAAATGCTTCGAATGAAGAAAAGAGCAAACATAACATTACAGCGCTTGTTCGCAAGTGAATATGAAGAATAAGTTAAAATGCAACCATTGCTTACTATTGTTGTATTGTGTAACCGATTTTTTTGTCGTGAATGAAGCTTTGTTTCGTAATTTTATTAAAAGTATGATATCAAAAGTAGTTCACATTGATTGTCTCGCTACTCATTATTTAGCCAATTTTTAAATCGTATTATGACAAAGATTGATAGTAATGCACCTAAATGGTCACAAATTTTCATTATTTATTAACTATAGTACTGTTGAAAATTGACCACGTTCTAGATGATCGTAGAGCAATTATTGAAGAAACATTAAAGGAATTTAAGGATGTTTGTGAAAATGAGCCAAAATCAACGATTCAGTCTATTGCACAAGCTTACTCATAACCACAAATAACAACATATCAGATTATGATGGAACATCTTATACAAGGTATAATTTGTTCAACAGTTCTACAAAGAAGTATTACATAGATCGAACATTTGATCCTAGCTCATTTTTACAAGTATCATCAACTTCATCGATTTTTTCGTCAATAATTACCCTACGATCATCAATTTTCAACAGTTCTAGTTTCATAAAATTGCTGAAATGTGCTGTTAATACAATGTTTAATTAGTGTGGGTTTTTCAAATTTCAATTGTGGTTACTGTTTTACAATACTGGCTTATTTGAATTTTTACCATGAGCAGAACTATTTTAATTCTGATTTCGTTAGGTACAGACATTTTATCCGAAATATATTGATTAAAACTTTAACGAATGTGTGATCAGCCTATAAAAAAAATATTTAGATCTCTTGAATTACTGAGAATCTATTCATGTTTTCTTTTTGTTTAGACTTTTGGAACATCTTGTATATACATTCAACTTAAACATAGATATATATGTGATGCTGCAAATCATCATGCGAAAACAGTTCAGAAATCAACATAATCATATTTTTAAATAATGAATTTTTGATAAAATTCATTCAAATCTTGTTTGAGTATTAAACTCATCATTATTTACTACTTTAAAAATTTTTATTCATTGTTCGTATTCAATTAGGTCTTCCATTATATTGATTCACTCGTCTTTTGAACATGAGGATCTTTTAAAAATTCTTCAAAAAGAGATATGATGAATTAATAGTAAGTGTTTGGATTCATATCTCTAAGCATCTTTTATTTTCATTTGGTTTTTTTCTCCGACTTATAATACAATCCACCCGAAAAAAAAACACATTAATCAAAATTCATCTTTCAGTTTATATCTACAATGGGTATCCCATAGTAATCGAGAATAAATTGTCAACGACATTTTTTTTTTATGTTGAAGACTGAAAATTTTATCACTTTAATTTTCCTAAGTCTTAACTCTCTAGTTAAATCTAATGCTGAATTACATGACAAAAAATTAAAATACATGAATTTTCGTACTTAATTTTTATCACATGTTTATTTCTTGACCAGTGATATTAATGAACATATAATAGAAAGAAACTTTGCAAGACAAATTTTTTCCAAAAACATACATTATAATAAAACTCAATGTGTATAAATATACTCTCCATTGCTTTCTATGATCATATTATAATTTATTCTCAGAATGACTAGAGCTCATTGAGTTTAAAATTTTTGGACTTAGACTCGGCTAACAGAAAAATTTTAGACATGAACTCGATGAGCTCGAGTCATGATTGACTATGTAGTAAAAATATTACAAAAATCTAGTACGACAATTCATGTATGTTAATCTTATTCATGTATTTCAGCTTTCTATGTCAAGAAAAATTATGAAAAATGTCGTTGACAATTTATTCTCACTTATTATGTGACATCCTTTATTCAAATATAACCTGATACATTTTCATCAATACAATAAAAAGAACTTGTTTAAAGAAATTTTCTCATTCAAGTTTTAATACTAGGTATCAACATTGATTCATAACCATTAATAATATTTTTCGATTATTTTAATTGTAATACTGTTATTGTAAGCACATAAACATAATAACTCTATATTTAAACAACAAAATATTCATTGTACAATATCACTGGATATCAATATTAAATATAAACTTTCTTTTTTTATTAATTCATTTACTACTTATATTAGAGTTGTTTATATAATTTCAATTGTACGCGTTAAAATATCGGAAAATATTCTTTTTTTTTTTCAATAAGAATTTAATACACAAATTGTTATTGAAATGATATTACGTATATTGTATAATGAACAAGTTGTATTAGCTGTTAATGTACCATGATTCATTTTATGAAATGAAATTAAATGACGAATGTTAGACTGAAAATTTGAAGTAAAATGAGATAAAACAGTAACGAGTAAATGACCAACAAAATTACTATTGGATGTTTAATATTATCAGAAAAGAAAAAGAGCACATCGACATTTCTAAAAATATACGCTTATATGATGGTTCATTACACTTGTTTGGCAAATCATTTACTATAAAGAAGAATTGACTAAATAAAATTAACTTTCTTAGAAAATAATTTTCTTTATAAATCGAATTTTTTTTTCTTGTTTAGCTTGTTAAAACATATATCTTAATGTTCAAATAACATAATCAGAAATAATCTCTAAATCTATCATACCGTATTGAGATAATTGTTTAGTAGATCATAGTCATTACAATAAATTCATTTTCAGTTAAATAATTCTTCAATGTTTTTAGATGCAATCAGTATAAGAAGAATCCATTGATATCTTCGTCAATCTCTATTAGTTTTCTTCAAATTTAGATCATTTCTAAGAGCATTGAATTATTTTGTTTTTTGTTTTGAAACTATCACTTGTAGTCTAATTTGATTGAATAGTGAATATGATAACAAATAACAATTACTATGCATTGATAAAGTTATATGATGAACAACAAGTATATATCAATAGTAAATCCTTTATATATATATATGTATACAATGACTGAATAGAAATGAAAGAGTAGAAACAAATACATAGATTAAATATAGTTCGATGTTTTTGTATTTTGCCAACTTGTTTCTTTTTTTCTTTTATATCGATTGATTTGTGATTACAAATGATAATTATAACAAACGAGCGATATGTATGATAATATGAAGAATTGATTTTAAATTATATTTGGTTGTAAGATATTAAAATTGAATGCAAGTAATTATCCCATTATGAAAAACTATTGAGATTTATTTAAATCTTCGCACTCAACGTTCAATCATATATTGCGCATTTTAATTAGACTTAAAGAGAGCTAAAATCCAGGGAAATCAATGCTATTCTTATAACTTTTTTTTGTTATTATGTTGATATTTTTAGTAATCTTTAACAAGTTAAGGGAAAAAAAAGTCTCTTCCGATCTATAAAAAAAAAGAAGTTTTTCTTAGCTTTCATTGGTTACATATGTGAGTTTCTTTTTTTCTATAGATTTTTTTAATAATGTTCAATCTAAATCATTCTAGTATCTTGATATTTCAATAATTAAAAAAGAGAAAAATTATTATTCTTTACGAAGAATCGATTAGTAAAAGATTTTATTCGATTTTCATAGCACATATTATCATTTTCAAAAAAAAATTTTATCTTATACCTTAGGCTATTTGACGTGCTAACGAGAATTTTTTAATGTTGATCGAATCAAATTGAATTGTTCGATGAACGTATTCAATCGTAAATAACAATTGTATGTTGTTGTTTTTTTTTGCATCATGGTCAAATTTGTTTGATTTAAATGCAGGTAGTTTAGTAGAATGTTTTCTTTAGGGATTGTTTTAATATGATTAATAAAAGCAATGCTTTTGTCCTTGGAAAATGTTTCAAAAATTATTACAAACCTTATTGACTTCCTCTGGGATAAGGCTATTTTTTTTGTTCAACTCATTTATATGAATAATAAAATATTTCCTTGTAAATTATTAATTTATTTTTAACAAATCTTCTAATTATATGATTTTTAAAAAAAAAAACTACGTCAAACAAAATATACAAATCTTGTTTTTATACGAGTTCTTTATCATGTTTTTTTTTTCTTCATATCTTAATTTATAAACTAAGTTCTCAACCCTATCTATTATCATTTTGCATCCATCATGATTATTTGCTTGATATATATTAATGGTAATAGTTCAAATATTTTCGATCAAACAATCTTACAACAAATGTAAATATTGTCTTGTTTTTCTAAGAATAAATTTTCTTTACTAGATAAAAGCTGTCCTACTACTATCGACTAAATAAATATTAAGATTTATTTTTATCTATAATAAATCCTTGAATAAAAACTAGAATATACGCAATTTGAGTTAGCATATAAATACGCAATTTATTATTTCTAGTGTGAACCTTGATCGAAGTATTATTCCGGAACAAATATGATTGATCATCATCATTATCATCTTTGTTAATGTACTCTCATTGTTCTCATCAATTTTTTCCTTGTTTTTTTTTTTTTTTTGTTCCATTATCAATGAAGTCTCTTTCTACAAATAACACAAAAATCCAAATGCATTTTTTTTGACATGGAGTATTGTCAATGAGAAAGCATATTCAGCAAATGTCAAAAAATTGCCATTCCATAACGTGATCTGAACAACAACAAAAACAAAAACAACAACAACGATGTCTTATTACCCAT